TTTGAGTTTCTTCTGTTTCTGATTACATTTAGATTCCTGGCGCATGGAATAGTGTATGGAGTTCTCCAAAGGAGAATAAAGTCCTGTAGTAGAAAGAATGCTAGATTTGGAGTCAGAGGACCTAGATTCAAATCCTACTTCTTTTAGTAACTACCTATGTGACCTTGGGCAAGTCACCACCCCTGGGACTTCAGTTTTCTCATCTTTAAAATGAGGAGGTTGGATCTGATAACTTTCGAGGTCCCTTTCCGTTCTAGACTAATCCTCTGATCACAGCTTCCTGGCACCACCCATTGTGTATGGGCTTCTCCAGAGGAAAACAGTATGCTGCAATAGAGAGAGTGTTAGATTTGGTTTTTGAGGACCTGGATTCAAATCCTGACTCTTCAACTTCCTGTGTGCCCTTGGACAAAGTCATTACATCACCTCTAGTATGGACTTCCTTTATATTTGGTAGAGGTTGGTCATTTTCCATTGGTATATCAGATATTACTGATTCTGAGTCAGTTTTATTTTTTGTGATGGTCATTGCTTGACAAGACCAATGCCTTTTTACTCTTTTAATGAAAAAAATATTTCTGAGATGAGCCTTCTGACTAATCAACAAGAGTTTGGCTTCTTTTGTCTCCTAATGCAAAACCATGTTTTCTACCATATTTTTCACCAGCTGCTCCTATGCCCACCTTCTCACTGAAGCTGCCATATATTAACCTATAGGTTGATTTGTCTTGGAGGGTCTTGTCAAGTTTTTAAAAAAAATTTTTTTTTTTTTTTTTGCAATTTCTCTACTTAAACATCTTGAACAGATATTTGCATCTAGGCTGCTAAAATTGCTGTGGTGGACTCTTTATCTAAAGCTCATCATGAAGACTGGAAGGCGAAGTGACCAAATAGCCTATGAAATGATTTTTCCTTATTGATCTCTGGCACAAAAATGAAATTAATTCGCTGCCAAATGTTGCTAACTTCTTTTTTCAACCGAATAAATAAATAATATCGTTGAAAGGGGAAGGAGAGGAATAAGCATTTAAATAATACTATGTGGCAGGTACTGTGCTAAGCCTTCTATAAATATTATCTCCTTTGATCCTCACAGGAACATTGGAAGGTGCTATTATTATCCCTATTTTACATTTCAGGAAACTGAGGCAAACAGGTTAAGTGACTTGCCCAGAATCACACAGCTAGCAAGTGTCTGAAGCCATATTTGAATTCAGGTCTTCCTGACTCCAGACTTAGCATTTTATCCACTGTAAGAAATCTCAGAGGTCATCTAGTCCTGCCCATTCATTTTACAGATGAGACACAGGTAGTAATCATCAAAGGCAGAGCAGGTGCTCCGTCTGCAAAAGTCATTGCTTTTTCAACTGTACTGCCTCTTCAAAGAGAACATTCCTCCAGCCATATGTGCATATGCTGCTTTTTTCTATCTTTGAGGATTTTTTTGTCTTTTTGTTTTTTGTCATATAGTGAGACTGTCAATATCGATGTGGTCTGCTTTCTCCAATAGCCTGTCAGCTCTTTAGTCATGTTGTAAAGGTCTCACATTGAGTTCCTATGGGCAAATTAACATGTGTAGACCATATAAAAATTGTATGATTCTTAGAATGGTTGATGTGCACCAATGAAAAGGGTTTTCACACTTGTTCCCAAAGCTGAGAACATCCTCTGTTGGCTCTCTGTGGGGGCTATTTAATATCATCAGAACAGCCCAGGGGTTTGCATCAACATCAGATATTGTAAGAGTTATGACAAATGCACCACAAGGAAAGACTATCAGACTTTTGCTGCAAACTAAGGACCCAGATGATTGACAGTTATAGAACTGCTCCCAAAGAATAGCATTCTCTATGACATTCCAGTGTAACCATTTCTATATCCTTGCATATATCTCTCTGCAGCAAGGATGAAGAAGGGAGTTGTGTTGATGCATATGAGTCCAGACAGATACTGCTACTTCTTCCTCTGCTTCCAATATCCCTTTCCTCTATTAAGAGAGAGAATCACAAGGAGAATACTGCTTACAATATTTGGGGAATAAATTCTCAAGGGGAAGTGATTGCTGCTCTTTTCATTTTAGCATATTTTTAAGAAATATTTTTTAAGTTAGTTAGCATTTAATTTTCTTTCCCCATCAAGAAAAGAAAAGAAAACAAAATTCTCTTAACCAATAAGCAAAGTCAAGCATAAGAAATTTCCATATTGACCATGTTCCAAAATATAAAGTACCAACCTTCCCATTAGAGATTAGGTAGGAAGTAATAATGGTCCTAGATCTCCTCCCCAGGATTACTTTTAGCTTCAAAAGAGTAATTAGATAGACCATGGAAAGGGCATTTGAGGACCTAGGGAATTTCAACATTGAGGGACAACAGTGAAATAATTTTATTTTATCAGCTCAGTTCTAAATCTTGATGGCATGGCATAGAGCTGAAGTATCCGATATCAACAGCTGGTAGTTTGATAGTATACATTTGTATAATGTATTACAACTTTATTTTCATTCATTGTTCATAGATTTAGAGCTTGAAAGAATATTTGTTGTTCAGTCGTCTTTCAGTCCTGTCAGATGCTTCGTGACCTTATTTGAGGTTTTCTTGGCAGAGATACTGAAGTAGTTTGCCATTTCCTTCTCCAGCTCATTTTACAGATGAAGAACTGAGGCAAACAAGGTTAAGTGACTTGCCCAGGGTTACACAGCTTGTAGGTGTCTGAGGCCTGATTTGAACTCAGGTTTCCCTGACTCTATGGCTGGTGTTCTATCCATTGTACCACCTAGCAGCCCAGGGGCTATGTAATCCAAACTCCTCATTTTACAGTTGAGGAAACTGAGGCCCAATAAGGTTAAAGAACTTGTCCAAAGTCATAAGGTAGTGAGTGGCAGAGTTGGGACTTGAACTCAGACCATCTGAATCTAAATCTAGCCATTTTTTCACTAAACTGTGCTTGTCTCCTTCATTTCCATGATTTCATCTGAGCCTCACAACAGCCCTGTCAAGTAGTGCAGGTGGTATCATTAGCCCATTTTGCAGATGAAGAACACACCCATTAAATGCCACAGGTGGGACTTGAACCCAAGTCTTCTTAAACCCAGTCTGGGTTTCATCTAAGTTTCTGTCATTACCTCATCCTTGGGTGTGGAACTCTCTCCTACTTGGAATTCAGTCTTGGTACTAGAGGAGTGCCTACATTTTGATAGAAGAGAGAAGGTGCACTACCCAGAGGCAGAGTGAGATGGTGCAAATGGTTAGAGTATGGCCTGGAGTCAGGAACACCCAATTTCTACTATGGTCTCAAATTTTACCTGGGTGACCATGAACAAATTCTTTAACTTCTGTCTGTCTCAGTTTCCTCAGCTGTAAAATAAGGGTAATAATAGCATCTGTCTCCTAGAGTTGTTGTGAGGATCAAATGAGATAATAGTCATACAGCATTTAGCACAATGTAGGTGCACAATTTAGCACATAGTAGGTGCTTAAGAAATGCCTTCAAGTCAGGAGGACCTGAGTTCAAATCCAGCCTCAGACACTTAACACTTACTAGCTGTGTGACCCTGAGCAAGTCACTTAACTTCGATTGCTTCACCAAAAAAAAAAAAAAAAAAAGGTTGGTGAGGGAACCTGAATGGTTCCATGGGCCACATTCTAGTGGACACTTCATTTGAATCTTAGTATATCCATTGACTCAGAGAGGTTTCTTAAGCAATCTCTTCTGATGAGCATCAGGCTTTCTCGTTATTGTTTTTAAAGTTAATCATGACCAGATGGTCGTAGGGTAGCAGAGGCAAGAAATGAGGACACTAAAGGAGGATTACAGTCAAAAGCTCCAGTGATAGCTGATCAGAGTGCATGTCTAATACCTAATGGGGATAACAATAGCTAATATTTACATAGGCTCTAAGTGTTGCGAAGCGCTTTACATATAATATCTCATTTGGTCTTCACAACAACCTTGTGAACTTAAAATGAATTGAGACCCAGGAGGAAAACTAAGAGTGACAAAAAGGCTTTTTGTGTATTTTGTACTTTAGTGATTTTATTCTCATTTAACAGATGAGGAAACTGAGGTTGGGAAAGGTCATGTGAATGATTGAGGGTCACAGTTATGGATTTGAACCCAGCTCTTCTCAGTTCTTCTTTGTGTGCTATTCCTGTCATCATGACATATTGGTTTGTGGATATTCATAAGAGAATCCGACCTCCTCTGTTTAAGGTTGGCATTTGTCCTAATTAGTTTTTAGCAACTTCAGACTGATTGATGTAGAGTATTTGCACCAAAAGAATGTAGATGATGGCCCATTGGAAGAGGTGAAACCCAAATTCAGACCTAGTTATAATAATTAGTTATTGTTTGGGTCTCAGTACTTTTGGGTCTATATAGACCTACCCTGGTCTCTCACTCCTGCTTTTTCTCTGCTTCTTTTATTTCCTACTTTTGGATAGAACCTCTCTCTGTTTATCATTTACAAAAGTGGTAAACATTCATGGCGGGTGTCCATTCAAGACAGCTTGTGCAGTGTGACTGCCCCATCCATCTGCTGCTTTTTAACTAAAGGCACCAAACATGTCAGTATTCTCAGCACAAGGGAGCTAATGCAAGGAAATGTTTTCAGGCATCAAGTCATCTCTGCCGTGTTTTGCCATCCATGGCTGTCTTAGAATCCAAACATGCGGCAGACAGTGTTTTCAGTGGTCATAAAAATTCAACATCCATGGGCCACTTAACACATTCCACCATATTGTTCTCTCATGGAAACACCCAAGTTTTTTTTTTTTAACTTTACTGTCAAGATGTTAGCTGTTTAGGTCACAAACTGCACAGTGGTTTCTAGAAGTAAATGGATTGTGGTTTTGTTTTTACTTTTAGAGCTGCATGAAATGGAAAAGGAAATTGGGTTCAGTGAAGGCATAGCTCCTGCAGTGTTTTACTGGAAATATTCATACTGTTTTGTTGCCCTTTGATTTCTGTGGAGCACGTCTGCGCTTGTTTGTTCTTCATAGGTTCAGAGATTCAGAGCTGAAAGGGACCTTCGAAGCCATCAGATCCAGCTCCCTTTTTTCGCAAATGAGGGAACTGAGGCAGAGCGATCAGTTCAGGATTCCACAGTTAATAAATATCTGAAGCGCCATTTGAAACCGGAACCTCCAGACTCCCAATCAGGTGCCCTGTCTACTGTGATATGCAAACTTTCTTCTAGGCCAGAACCATGGATTTGACTGGTATACAAAGGATTGACTTTCTTTGGCTTTGTCTCGTTGATTACTTTAGTTCCATGAAGATGAAGGATAGCATCATTACCGGACTGCAGAGGCTCTACTTTAGTAGTCCTCCAAAGCCAATTAATAGTGTTTCAGGCCATTATGTTTGGCTCTTTTCATTGTTGTTGTTGTGGTTGCCCTTAGAGCTGTAGTAAATAATAATGAAGCCAGTTCTCCATTTAAGGTGATTTGCTTCTACTGGGCTCAGCCACTTACTGAAGGCTTGGCTAGCAGGTAAATAAACTCACATCAGTCTTGCCCCTCCCACTGCTCCTGGACTCAGTCAGACCTCATTGCGAGCCCCTCTTCCTGATCTCAGCATTTAGGCTTGGTCCGGGTCCAGCCCCAGCCCCATCCTCAGCAGCCCCTTTCTGGAGCTCTTTGAGTGTCAAAGGCAGGCTCTCCAGAGGAAATGGGAGCAAAACAAAGCATGGGGACTAGAGGAAATGTTAGTAGACTAAGAGAGGGTATCCTATGATTTTTATGTGTGTGTGAGTTTATGTGTGTGTATGTATTGTGCCAAATAGAGTTCCTGGCATATAATAGGGGCTTAATAAATACTTACTGATTGATTCATTTAAAATAATGATTCTGCTTTTCTTTTATAGCTAGTAAATTGGCTCTAAACAAAATGATGCTACAAGTGTACTGTAGACTCCTATGAGTCATGGGGATCGAGTAGAAGGAGGGTGGCGAAGGAGAAGGAGTCTATGACTAGCCCCAAGTCTGGTAGCTCCAAAGAGTGACTTATTCAGCCAATGATCGAGGGAAAGCTGACTCCCATTGGTGAGTGAACTCAGCAGACGCTGACTTTTGCTGCTGTTTTGCTGACTTCCACATTACTGACCTGACACTTTGCAGCCTGGCTCTGCTTTAGCCTTAGTCATGGCCAGCTAGGCCACCCCCACTGCCCCCTGAAAAAAAAAGAGAAAAAGGAAAAAAAGAAAAAGACAAAAAAAACCCAAAACCCTTGTCTCCCTCCATTTAGGGTGTTTGTTAACTCCTGGAAGTTGGACAACTTTCCCTGCTTTCAGATATATTTTCGAATATTGTCCATGATCTAAGGATGCTGGATTTGGCTCAGCCTAATTGATTTCCTTACTTTTAGTCTCTTCCTTTGCCAGTCCATCCGCTATATAGCTGCCAAAGTGATTTCCCCAAGCTGCTATACATTCTTCTTAAAGCTGAGATTGTTTGATTCTTTGTCCTTGTTACCTTTTTAGCTAGCACAGTGCTTGGCACACAGGTGTTTAATAAGTGCTTTTTGATTGACCATGTTACTTCCATACTCAGTAAACTTTAGTGGCTACCTGTTACCTGTGGGGTCAGATATAAACACTTCTACTTGGCATTGAAAACATTCACAATCTGGCCCCAGCCTACCTGTCTAGCCTTATACACTGCTTCCCTTCATATGCTCTGTGGTCCAACTTTTTTGCTATTCTTCACACATACAACACTCCGTCTCCAATGTCTCTACCTTTGCACTGATTGTCCTTCCTGCCTGGAATGCACTCCTTCCTGCCCTCTGCCTTAAAATCCCTAGTTTCCTTTGAAAATCTACTCAAGTGTCCCCTTCATATGAGGCTTTTTCTGAGCCCCTTTTATCAGCACACCTCCCTCCCCCAACTACTAGTGCTTCCTCCCTCAAATTACCTTATATTTGTCTTATATATATTTTGAATATACATATATTATAGTGCATATGTTTATTTATACATCTCCTCTGAAAGAACATAATCTCCTTCAGGGCAGGAACAGTTTCATTTTTGTGTTTATATCCCTAGCACCTAACACAGTGCCTGGCACATAGTAGGTGCTTAATACATTTGTTGATTGACTGAGCCTGTACTCTGCTCCCAACCCCACAGAATCACAAAATTATGCTCTATTACAACCCATGCTTACAGTTGGAAAACGAATCCTTAAACAAAGGGCATACCTTTACTTATATTAATTTATATTTAATTTATATTAATTTATATTTATTTATATTAATGAAATACCCTTCCCCCTCAAAAAATATTAATCAGAGCCAAGGTCTGGCCTAGCCAACTTGTATAACATCAGGGTACAAGGTGAAGCTACTTGAGTTATTTTTCAGTTGTGTCAGACTCTTCATGACCCCGTTGAGGGTTTTCTTGGCAAAGATACTAGAGTGGTTTGCTATTTCCTTCTCTAGCTCATTTTACAGATGAGGAAATGGAGGCAAACAAGGTTAAATGACTTTCCCAGAGTCACACAGCTAGTAAGTGTCTGACATGAAGATGAGTCTTCTAGACTTCAGGCCTAGCACCCACTCCACTGTGACACCTAGCTGCCAGAAGCGACTTGTGCTATGGAGTAGTGGTATGGTAGTGGATTGAATGCTGGGTCTATAGTCAGGAGGACCCAAATTCAAATCCTACCTCAGACAGCCTTCTGGGTGACTGTAGTGAGTCACATAGCCTTACGTGCCTCAATTTCTTGAACTGCAAAATGGGGATGATAATAATAGCCCCTACTTCTCAAGGTTGTTGTGGGGATTAAATGAAATAATATTTATAAATCCCTTCCCCTTATTCTTCTTCCTGTCCCCCCTTTTCCCCTTCTTCCTCTTTTTCTTCTTTCCCTTCTTCCTTCTCTCCCTCCTTTCCTCATTCCCTCCCACTCTCCCCCTTCTCTTCCTTCCTTCCTTCCTTCCTTCCTTCCTTCCTTCCTTCCTTTCTTCTTCCCTTCCTCCCTTCTTGCCTTCTTTCCATTGCCTAGGCTCATACAGAGGAATTTATAGTAAGAAAAAGAAGGCAACAAAGCAGGTATCTTTGGAACAAATTATCAGCATCATCCTCATTATATAAGAACTGACATTTATATAGCACTTTAAGGTTTTTAAAGTATTTTACCCACATTATCTTATTTTATCTCCATAAAATCCTCACAAAGTAGTAATTTACAGGTACTGTTATCCCCATTTTACAGAGCAGGATATTGAGACGTGAGTTGTGATATGTTTCAGAAGTGAGATTGAAACCTACCTCTCTTCTGACTTTAAATCCTATGTTCTTCCCATTATATCAAATTACCTTGTAGCCCAAAAGAGCTCAAAGTATCCCCAAAGATAGATGTTCAAAATCCTTCCAAAGAAACTCTTCAGAATCCTATGACCTCTGTAGGTCAACTAACCACTCACCATTTTTGTGAGGTTCTGTGCTTTGTGTAGGGGATACAAAGACAAAATTGAAACAATCTCTGCCCTCATTTTTTGATTTAGCATTTAGCCAATAAAACTTTTTAAAATGCCTACTATGTGCCAGACACTATGCTAAGTTCTGGGGCTACAAAAAGAAGAAGAAGACAATCCCTGCCCTAAAGGAGATCGCAATCTAATGGGGGAGATGATAAGCATGAAAATATATATAAACATGCTATATACAGAATAAATAGGAAGTAATTAACAGAGAAAAGGCACTAGAATTAAGAAGCGTTGTAGTAAAAACTAAAGTGGACAGGCGATATGGTATAGTAGATAGAGACTATAAATTAGAGATGAGTTCCTAGGATTTAGAGTTGGGAGAAACCTGAGGCCATCTAAGACCAAGCCTGTCATTTGACAGATGTGGAAACTGAGACACAAGGATGTTGTTGAGTTGCCGATCTGTGTCAGTGGAAGGAGTTTCCCAAACCAGAATTCCCTACCTCAATAGAATCACAGGTCTTCCCCTACTTTTACCCCTAAAATTAAGTCAGAATTATGAGAAGCATGGGGCACTGTGGCATGGTTGATAGAAAACTGATCTCAAAACCAGGAAGACCTGTGCTCAAGTTTGACCTCTGAAACGTACTGACTTTGTGAACCTGGGCAAGTCACTTAACCTCTAGGTGCTCTAGGCAGCTGTCCAAGACTATAAGTTAATGGGAAGGTGCCAACCTGCATTGCTAGGAGCAGTTTCCTCACCTGGGGATTCCTTATTCCAATGAAATCAGCGGTCTAGACTCTATTTCTATCTTTAATTATGAGAAATAAAATAAGAAATTGTGTGGTAGATTTATGCTGTATACCATTACATATAATTGTATGTGATTGGTTACAGTTTAGTATTGTATGATCTTTATATACTCCAAAAAGCACTATGTCATATATTACACATCTATATAAAGATCAGAGAGACCCTAGACTTTCAGAGCTGGACAGAGACCTTAGTAATTATTTAAATTAGATTCAGTATAATCTGATTTTATATATGTAAATATATGCACATATATATGTTTTTTGTTGTTGTTTAGACATTTTTTAGTCATGTCCAACTCTTTGTGATCCCATTTGGGGTTTTCTTGCAAAGATACTGGAGTAGTTTGGCATTTCCTCCTCCAGCTTATTGTACTGATGAGGAAACTGAGGCAAACAGGATTAAGTGACTTGACCAGGGTCATACAGTTAGTATCAGAGGTCGGATTTATGCTCAGGAAGATGAGACTTTTTTTTTTTTAGGCAGTTGGGTTTAAGTGACTTGCCCAGGGTCACACAGCTATTAGGTGTCAAGTGTTCGGTCTGAGGCCGGATTTGAAGTCAGGTCCTCCTGACTTCAGGGCTGGTGCTGTATCCACTGTGCCACCTAACTGCCCCAAGATGAGACTTCTTGACTCCTGGCCAGATACTGTATCCACTGCATGCTATGTATATATCTAGATGTATCTATCTATACAATATACATACACACATGTGCATATAAGCACATACACACATGTATGTGTGTATTTTTAGTGGGTATCAGTCCCTCCATCAGGAGGGAATGTCACCCCACTATTTTTATGATTGTTGATTCAGATTCAACTTATGTCATTCTCAATTTATAATTCCTTTTCCAGGAGAATTTCCTGTCAGAGCATTGACTGTGTTCCATAGATCCTTTTATCTAGTATTCT